AGAGAGACAAGCTCTTTGAACTGTGGCCCCTTTTGGCGGCGCCTTTCAATTTACAAAACTTGTTGTACACAGCGCACATTTACATTAACATTTCCATTTTCAATTTCAATTTCAATTTTATTCCAAGCTGCCTTCCAGAGTCCATTATCGATGCTTGCTGCTTTCTTATCAGCTCGAGAGCTGCGGCACGAGGTTGTCTCTCTGACACGTCCTGATAAGCTATATAGTTATTTTCATTTCCATTCATTCGACAAATTTATTTTTGGTCGTGTTACGCAAATACTCGTACTTCACAGCAAACAAACTAACAAGTAAAATGATTGTAGGCGGCGCAACTGACTGCATAATACTCGTTCATGGTTCAAAAACAGCGAAATTTATTACAAAATATTTTCCGCTTCAATGGCTGGAGCATATAATTAATAAGTCTATCACTAGAGGAGGCTAACAGTGTTGCGAGTTGACAGGGCGAGTTGAGGAAAAGAAGGGAACAGAATTTAGTTCATCAAAATAGTAGTGGCTACTGACAAAATGGAAAATGCAATATACTCACTGCACTTTCTGAACGTGTATTAAAACTACACAACTTGAAATACGCTTGTTGTTTTGTTTACCGATTGATGATGTGAATGCATTGAAGGCAAACAATGATCGTCAACTGGCCATGTTTTTAGTCATAATTTGACTTATTTTTCTTTTTCCCCCCTTTTTTTGGCTTGGCTGAAAGCAATCACGTAATTGCCTGGGTTACTCCCAGACATCAGGTGTGTTGATCAACGTTTCGCTTTTTTAGCTTAAATGGTAATGTGACATTTTTGGAGCACCTTGAAAGTAAATATACGCATGAAGTTCACTTTATATTGTCTGCGAATTGCAAAAAGTTTGATCAGTTAGTCAAACACTCGATATATATATAAATGGAGTTTTTGTTATATTGTTGGAATTCGCTTTAAAGAGTTTTCAAGAGCTCCTTGAGCCTTGCTTCATTGATGATCTTGAGTGTGTTTTGGTAGGCTTGGGCCATGCTGATCAACTATTAAAAAAACTTTAATGAATTTTATTTATTTTTATACCTTTTTCTCATTATATTTTGTTTAGTTATTTATGTTTAATTACTTTTGATATGACTGGGATTAGCTTTGGGTTTATTACTAATTTTAAAAGTTTTCAATAGACTTCTCGTAGCTTATCTTATTCTTAATAAAATTTGATTAACGTAGCTCGTATTACTTTTTAAGTTTTTCCCAACTAAATACAGGGAAATTCAAGAAACATATTTTTAAAAGCCGCTCATTTATTTTTATTTTGATGTTTATTAGTGTTAGCAATAAATTCTGTTTACCTGATAATGATCTTGCGGGGAATTACTATTTTGAATTTCTCTCCTGCTTTTCTTTTAAGCTGCTGATCATAGAATATTTTATAGATCTATATAATTATTTGAATTACGTCGATCGTTTTGCATTTTTAATGCTAAATAAATCTATTCAATTTGTATCTCATTTAGATCTTCTAGTATAAAAATGTTTAATTATTCTCATAGAGAAACGGATTTTGTTTGTTAAACATATTAAAATGAGTTTCTAAACCTGATCTCAAAGTTCTTTTGTTTACCTAACTCTATTCCTTGGTACACCTGGCTAATAAGTATACATAGTTAGATCATCAATCAAAGAGCTCGTAGATGCTTGACTACCAAGTATAGAGGTATAAAACTGAAAAATAAATGTTCCTTTGCATATTTCACAATTTTCTTGAATTGCTGTTCTAAAATAGCGAAAACTATTGCATTTACTCAATTTCTTCAGTTTTGTGGAGCACTGAATGCTTCCATATTTAACGTTCCGTTCTACTTCTCAAAAAGGTGTTTAGCTGTTTCAATTATAACTTAACTTGCTTATTGTGCTGTAAAAAATTATTCCTAAACAACTTTTGTTGCAGTTTGTTGCATTTAAATATTTTGCATACATGAACAGATCGTTTATTGCTTGTGAATATTTAATTATGATTGTGATAAAGTTGTTAAGCGAAGTGCACATTTAACTCTTTAAAATATTACACTTGTAAAGTTTTTGCTGATCATACGACAGCTGATAAGTTAGTGAGCCATAAGTCTAAATGTCTACAACTTCTGTTAAGCTAATCACTTAACTCTCTTAATCTCCCTATCCAATTTTCTAGCTATCTTACGATTCACACATTACTGACGATCAAGATCAACTACACGATCATCTATTTGCTGAGGGCTCATGCTTGAGTTGAAATGCAAAGATTTGCTTTTCTGACTTGAAGTTTGTTTAGTGTATTGATGATCATCGATGATTAATTTCCGACGAATGCGGTTTCTGGGTTAATTATGTGAATACATTGACAGATCCAAGTTATTATATTCATATTTCATGTACGCTGACTACACGCGCTCCATTTGGGCGCTCAGTTCGGTCAGCCATATAATTAACTGGAACACCTTAGCGTACCTTTTCATTGTTTACCTATCGCCAGCCTTGTCATATATATATTTTGCACGCCCTAGCCATAGTCATATATATATATATGTGTATATATTCATTCATGATCAGTTTATGGTATTTTTGTTCACGTTTTGAGGGCAATTCCCAATGCATTAACTGCGTGCATTCGTCGCAAAGTGGCAAAATCGCGACTCATTCATTCACACGCTTATTCAAATTGCAACAAAATAATTAACACTTAAGTCTAATTGTTATTAACTTTATAGACTTGTGTGTACACATGCTAAACATACATAGAGAGCGAGAGAGAGACAAAAGGCAAACGATGAGGTCTGCAAATATTGGCCCAAGTGTACAGACGCGTTGGGCTTGGATTTTGTTTCGAGTTGGGGTTTGATTTTCGTAGTTGCTCTGGCTGCGAGGCATTTTTGCTGTTGTCTTTTGTTTAATATGTACGTGAGGCAAGCTTCGAAAGTTTTACAACATGTGCAACAAATCGCTGTGGTAATATTAATAATAGAAAACTAAATACAATTCGGCGTCTGTCCCCAGTTGTTGTTGTCGTTGTTGTTTTTTGTTTACCGTCCACTGACTCGTCAAAATTCCAAGCGCGAATTTCATGGCGCGGTTATGCAAAATACAGCAAACAACAGTAACAACAACAGCAAAAATAAACAACAACAGCAACAAAAATAAAGCCAAGTCGTGTCTTTTAACTAACAAAACAAATCACGTCAAAATCGTCAGCACCGTCATCGCCAGGCCAGTGAAATCTTTAGGCCGAAAGAAATCCAGCTAAAAGCAATAACAGATAAGAAAAAAAAAACAGAAAATAAAGGAAAAACCAGAAAATTGCTCAAGCAACATGAAAATCACACATTATCCGGGCAAAGCCGTCGATGCCAGCCTCTCGCTGGACAACAACAGTGCAATGGGCGCCCTCTACGAGGCCAACTGGTTGCAGGCGCATCATCAGCATCATCGAGCACCCACGCAGTCAACACTAAGTCGGCAGCCGAGCAATGCCGGTTCGAGTAGTTTCCTACTCGATGGCATCTCGGCTCTCAGCAAATATCAAATGACGCTGGAGAACATACGGCAGCTGGAGCAGCAGGCGCAGGACAAACGCATTGTGAGTGCCATCAAGGAGCTGAATGGCTATAGGCCTTCGGCGCTGCAGCATCATCAGCAGCAGCAGCTGCACAATGGCTGGGTGGCTGAGGAAGAGGAGCAGCTCGAGGAGCCGTTGGAAGACAAAGCCAAAACTGACAATGCTTCGACACCAGCCGCCGCCAGCGTCAATCACTATGTACTTGATCCTACGGAACGTCAGCGCCTGCCACGGCCGCGTCAGCAGGTGTCCGTGAAGCCGCCATCGCTGCGTCGCAGCCAAACGATGCTGCAGCATCAACCGCCCAGTTATGTGACGCTGCGTGCGCCCAAATCGAAACCCGCCCAACACAACAGCAGCAACAGCTCCTCCGCCTACTCCACATTCTCCTCCGCTGCCGAGGACCGGCAGCCGGAGCGTGTCATCTGCCAGCAGCCGTTGCGTCTGCTGCAGCCACCCACAGAGCCGCCCCCAGCTCCGCCAGCTGGCAGCAAAGCACGCGCCTTTAAACCGCTCAGTAGGTCACAGACGAGCGTCCAACGCTATGCCACCATACGCATGCCCAATCATTCCGCCTCCTTCTGTCGGGCCACGGCGCGGGCAGCGGAAACGCCAGATGTACGACGTCACAGCTTGGAGCAGGCGCTGCAGGGCCTGCAACTAGAAGAGGTGGCGCAGGATGCTGTCGAGCAGGTTGTGATCAGACAGCCCGGGAAACAGTCGCGTCACATCTCACCTGTGGCCAGCAGCAATGGCAGCTCAAAGGATCTCAATGGCGAGGGCTTTTGCATACCGCGGCCACGCCTCATTGTGCCCGTGCACACATACGCGCGACGACGTCGCACCGGGAATCTCAAGGAGCAGTCAACGAATGCTCAGGATGAGGACGTTGCCAGTGGTAAGAAGTGCTGACAGAGGTTATGGAGTATATAATGATTACAAAAAATTTAGATCAAATTCAGACTAATCCAGTTTATATCTAAGAAAGTTTAAACAAAATCTTCATACAAGTTTTTGGTCTTAGGATTCATTGAGGTAACTGAAACCAACTCAAGAATAACAAAAATATATAGAAAATATAGAAAGCTATGTATTTGAATCAATTGACTTTGAAAGCCCTTAATTAAGAGAGCAAAGTTGATAAAATACAAATAAATTCTGTGGTTTTGCCTCTTGCCTCTTGGTTTGTGACTTCTTCTTCAGAGTTCAGAGTGTGGCATGAAGCTTAATTGAGAGTTATTTAAAGAGCAGATCGAGGCCTGCCTTTAATTTCGATGACTAAGGCATTTGTTTGCTTTTATAGTTCTTTTTGTTTTGTTCTGCTTTCCCATATTTCTCCATGTTTACTGAATGTGGTCTCCCATTACAGTTCTTGTTTAATCAATCAAACGCATTTTATTGCGCTCTGCTCGTTTCAGATGGACGCGTGGAGGTGTCACGCGAGGGCAAATATCTGTCGACACTATCCGGCGCCAAGGTGCTGGGCGAATTGGCCATTTTGTACAATTGCCAGAGGACGGCGACGATTACAGCGATCAGCGAATGCAATCTGTGGGCGATCGAACGCCAATGCTTCCAGACAATCATGATGCGAACGGGCCTCATCCGTCAGGCGGAATACACGGATTTCCTCAAGAGGTATGTAGACTGGATTTTGAGATAAAGTCTTTGCTTTCATTATTTCCCCGAGCCACAAAAATGTTGAACAGGCTGCAAAATGCAATTAATGTGCATTTGCACTTAATTATATCAATTCCGCCAAGTTGTGGTTGTTTCTTCTTTTTTTTTATACGTTGCAAAAAGTAATATATAAAACGCTTGGCTTAAGGATTTTTTTCGTGTTTGGCTATTTTTTGTGCAACTTTCTCTTCATCAAATGGGCAAACAGCATCAGACGACTTTGCTGTCGTCGTCATGGTCATGGGCGTCTCATATACGTCTATTACGATGACGTGCAACGCTCAAAATGGAAAGACGACGAGACGAGACAGATAGCCAGACAGCCAAAGACTTCGATCGCTCGGTTAACGAACGCATAGAAATGTTTTCTTTTCTTTCCATCAGATGCACAAGTTGGCAACCAGTTTAAGGCCACAGCGCTGGCGCCGAGAGTGACCAACAAATTAATCGCATTTAATTGGTCGTGTGCAGGGTAGTCAAGCGCCTTCAAAAACTTTTGATGACTGGAGCTCCCCCACTCCTGGCACCTTTATAATATGATTATCGTTCAAAGAGCTTCGCCCCTTCGACATTTCAAGCATGAAATTGCGCAAAAATTGCATTACACCACATGAAAATGAAAGTGCAGTTAAGGGGACGAACGAGCCAACTGCGGTTGAGCTGAAGATGTAGATTAGGCTGATGAGTAACGTTATGAAAGTCACAACTTAACAGTTTGGCAGAAGGTGTGTTGGAAAAGGGGGAAGGAAGGGGTCTAGGGAAATGATAGCTTTATAAGAGTTGGACTCTTTTTGTCTATCCGGCCAATTGAACCGAAATAGTTTCTACTACCATTTGGCAGCAGTTGACATAATAAATTAAAGATGGAGCATAAAGATTTCTGGTCGAAGAAGATCTCTGTTGGCCTCTAAGCAATCTAAGATATTTGTATAGAGAATACTTTTCCAAGTGCACTTCTCTCAAATATGACTGGAGTACGTTGATTTCCTTTTAAGCCAGCAAGTATGATTGAGAAATCTTGCTCACGTCAACTGCTTTCATTATCCAGTATCAGTTGTTCGTTAAAGTCTTTAAGCCTCACAATCTAGTTAAACAGGAAAAGCTGACAAAATTATTCTAATCGTAGCTAAACTCTATCTGTGAGTTACTCTCGAATTAAGCTTTTCACTAATGCTGCTTACAAATGAAAATGTTTTTAATGCAATTTGAACTTGATACCATCCTGCAGTGTGCCCATTTTCAAGGACTTGGCGGAGGATACTCTAATCAAAATCTCCGATGTACTTGAGGAGACGCACTATCAACGAGGTGATTATATTGTGCGCCAGGGAGCACGCGGCGACACCTTCTTCATCATTTCAAAGGGCAAGGTGCGAGTGACAATCAAGCAACAGGATACCCAAGAGGAGAAGTTCATACGCATGTTGGGCAAAGGCGATTTCTTTGGCGAGAAGGCGTTGCAAGGGTAAGTAGAGCAGTTGCTTGGCATTAACTTTTAACTAACAAAGTCTTTCTTCTCAGTGATGATCTGCGCACAGCCAACATAATTTGCGAGTCTCCCGAGGGTGTCAGCTGCCTGGTCATTGATCGTGAGACATTCAATCAGCTAATATCAAGTCTGGATGAGATCAAGCATCGCTATGACGATGAGGGTGCCATGGAACGCAGAAAGTAAGTCTTGGCCGAGAATCTAAATCTTGATCTATTCAATTTACATCTATGCTTGAAACCTTATCAGGATCAACGAGGAGTTCCGCGACATTAATCTAACAGATCTGCGCGTGATTGCTACATTGGGTGTGGGTGGATTTGGACGCGTGGAACTGGTGCAAACGAATGGCGACAGTTCGCGTTCGTTTGCCCTCAAACAGATGAAGAAGTCGCAGATTGTTGAGACGCGTCAACAGCAGCACATCATGTCCGAGAAGGAAATAATGGGCGAGGCCAATTGCCAGTTCATTGTGAAACTGTTCAAGACCTTCAAAGACAAGAAGTATCTGTATATGCTGATGGAGAGCTGCCTGGGTGGCGAACTCTGGACGATATTGCGTGATAAGGGCAACTTCGATGATGCCACCACTAGATTCTATACAGCTTGCGTTGTGGAGGCGTTTGACTATTTGCACTCGCGCAACATTATCTACAGGGATTTGAAGCCAGAGAATTTGTTGCTGGATGAAAAGGGATATGTAAAGCTGGTGGACTTTGGCTTTGCCAAGAAGCTGCAAACGGGCCGCAAAACTTGGACTTTCTGTGGTACGCCCGAATATGTGGCTCCCGAAGTGATACTGAATCGAGGCCATGACATTAGCGCCGATTATTGGTCACTTGGCGTGCTGATGTTTGAGCTGCTCACAGGTAAGTAGAGGCAGCCAAGCCAAGATATGTGGGTATTAAGTTTTACTTATGCTTGACTTTTTACAGGAACTCCACCTTTTACGGGCTCGGATCCTATGCGCACATATAACATTATACTTAAGGGCATTGATGCCATCGAATTTCCGCGTAACATCACGCGCAATGCCAGCAATTTGATCAAGAAACTGTGCCGCGATAATCCCGCCGAGCGTTTGGGCTATCAACGCGGCGGCATTAGCGAAATACAGAAGCACAAGTGAGTATAACTTTCGGAAATATCAAACAGAAATATAATGAACACTTGTTGTTTAGATGGTTCGATGGCTTCTATTGGTGGGGTCTACAGAATCGGTCTTTGGAGCCACCAATAAAGCCCAGCGTGAAGAACGTTGTGGACACAGCCAATTTCGATGACTATCCACCTGATCCGGAGGGACCGCCACCAGATGATGTTAGCGGCTGGGACAAGGATTTCTAATGTAGAAGACGTACGGAATGTTTTTTTTTGACGCTGCTCTCTAGCGGACTGTGTCGCGCATCTGCTGCATCTTGAAAAAGGGATATTGAAAATCGATCGGTTGGATCTTAACTAGTGCGCCATTTGTGTGCCAAAGCAATAGTCAGGATCAGGCTTCAACATTGAAAGCTGATCCCCCAAGTAGCAGTCGCAACGCCTAGGGTCCTCATACCAATAATCGTCGTACCCATATCATAACCAAGAATAAAGAAAAGAATATGCATCTGCAAACACCCATCTACAAGCAGCTCAAGGATGCAGCTCATTGTCTCAGATTGATCTGATTATCATAACATTGTGCAACACTATGAATTTATTAACGAGTTTATAAACTATTATTATTGTGTAAAGATTGAGAAATCTATATCTTCTAGTTCATTGGATATCGATAGAAATTGTAAGTAGGTTCCTGTATCCTGGCATTGCTCTGTTTCAGCCATGTGCATTGTGTAAATTGTTTTCCCCTCTCTTATCTATATACAAATTACAAAGATCATTGTTAATTGTACCAAGTGCACACACACCCACACATACAAATCGGATTGCCTTATAGCCTGTAAGCTGATTCTTATGCAATTATATGATCAAGACTTTCATGCCCATAACATGTAACTTTTCCACTTGTCTAATTATCTATCTATCATTTTAATGCCTCTAAGCAATTGTTGATCTATATGCTAATAATTCTTCATTCATTAGCCTAAGACTTTGTCATTTTTTATAATCAATGATATCTATATAAATATGTCATATAGTATGATGTTAACTGTCGATTTTCATATGGATATTGAGGGTGTATATTGAGTTGAATTGATTGAACTATGTTTTAAGATGTGTATAAGACAATAACATTTAATCAAATAGGGATATCTTTATAATAGATCACATGGTTGAATGTTTATCATTATTGAACTTTTCAGTTACAGGCATGACTAAGTGAGGCAGATAAGAGCTCAATAACTAATAGCTGTCTATCAGTTAAAAATAAGCTCTTGTATTAAAGTTTGTCAAAATATCTGTCCAAATATTGTACGTTCGAGTTGCCATGTTCTATATACATGCATGCCTGTATTTCTGCATTTCAAATGTGTTGAAGGCTATTTAATCTGTTTTAGTTTTTCTTTCAATAACTCACTCGATTTGCTACTAGTATAGCTAGCACATCATATACCTTACGGAAGCCTCTCTTGCTTCCTGGATTTGAGCACTCGAGATGTTTGGGAAACTGGCCGAAAACTCACGTTTTGACTCAATGAGAATTGAATGCAATTTCAGTGCATTCGAATGAAAAAAAATTGAAGCTAAAAGCAACAAAAAAGCTAAAATAGAATTCAAAACAGAAACTCGGCTACGTGCGCAACGAGACTTTAGCAAAAATTTAAAAGTAGAGAAAGCTGAGAAAAATAAGTCAAGTGCTCGGGCACTGTACGGAGAACATTCTGTGGAGGTAGCTCAATTCGTACGGTTCTAGACAAGCGGAACAATAGAAACCCAGGCACAGCAAACTAAAAAATTATAAATGAATAATAAAAACTACAAAAATTAGAACATAATATAAAGAAGTGATTTTAGCTGGTTGGAGACTGTGTAAAATATATATTTCTATATATTTTTTAATGAACTGCGCTTAAGATCGTATTTAGATCCAGAATGATATTGATTAGCTGGAGTGTGCTGCTGTTGCTCCTGCTGCTGCATATAACCATTAGCTTTGGTCTGCATCTGGAGAATCAGACGCGGGAGCATGTCAAGCAGCTGATCGGTGAGTTGTATGTGATGCCTAAATTAAAGAGCGAGGCTAATGTAGTTGAGATTCCCGTTTATAGCTTGCAAACAGCCTAAGGCGCCGGGCCTGTGCCGTGGCAAACACTTGCGTTACGCCTACAACAAGGAGACGGGCAACTGCGAGAGCTTCTACTACACAGGCTGCGCTTCGACGGAAAACAATTTCCTCACCTACGAGGAGTGCAGACGCGACTGCATGCAGCGCGGACGCTACTAGAGTAGATCCTAGTTAATATTTTGTTTTTATTACGAAAAAATTAATTTATATTCTACAAGAACTAAGACTTTTTGGGCTTTTTTGACTTGGCCCGCTTTGGCTGAGCTTGATGCTGACTAAGAGCACGCCAACCTTCGTTAAGCAAAAGCAGCCCGACAAAGATTATAGCCAGACTGTCCAGCGAGTGGTAGATGAACCAGTTCAGCTCTATGCCCGGCGACTGCAGCAGCTCCACGGCAAACATGCCGTGCTGCATCACGTGCTCGACGCTCCAAATGGCCGTCTCTAGCGGAGTGCGCTCTCGCTGATTAAAGACCTGCGAGAGCTGCAAAGCGCGCGAGGCATAGCTGTAAAAGATTTGAGTTTAGTGCGAATTGAGTTATATTCCAAGTCTCTTCACCTGGGCTTGCTTAGCTCGCGTAGTGATTCCTGTAGCATTTCCACATTGATATCCTGATAGTCTAGCTTGAGACCTATGCCGCGATCTTGGGCTGCAAAAGCATTCAGGAACTGGTCCCCATAAATGGGCGTCATGAGCAGCGGCTTGCCGCAGTGCAGCGCTTCGGTGAGGCCTAGCAGGCCGGCATGTGCCCAGAACAAGCGCACCTTCTGATGACCTAGGGGCAACATGAAAGTCAGCTTTGGTTAAGGAGTATCACAGACTCAACTTACAGAGCAGCGCCAGCTGTGGCGCCCACTTCACAAATAGAAACTTCTTATCATCCAGTTGGGGTTTAGGCTGTTCCGAAGATTCCCATTTCCAAATCACATCTAACGGCTGCTGCAGCAGCACTTTGATAATCGCATCCCGTTTTTCGGCATCTATGCTGGAGGCACGCACCATGGAACCCCAGCTGATGAAGATGACGCCGTGCTTGGACTGCTCCAAGAACTGAACAATTCGCGGGCTCAGCTGGTGCTCATCCTGGCTCGTAATGTGCACGCCGCCCACCTCTAGGAACTGTTGGGTGCGCGGGCGACTGCCCATGTGCGAGTAGTGCTGGTTGCCCAAGATGAATGCCGTCTGGGCACGGGCGACAGCATCCACATTCACATCGATATTGAGATGGCGCTTGATTAGCGCATTGTCTGCGCGGTTAGTGTGCAGCCTGTAGATGAGCTTCAGCAGCTTAGCTTGGGCGAAGTTCAGAAGGCGTTCGCTCCATTGCAGCGGCCGGGCGAAGCCGACATACTCTGATTGCACATAGGACGGCGTATCGGGCAAATCAATGCGATCGTAAAAGTAGGGCATCAGCGCACAGGTGCTAATCCCTATGATGGGCAAATTCAACAACTTAGCAATGGCCAGTTGGCAGTCCGAGGTGAAGTATTCCGTGAGCAGAACATCGTAGGGCTGCTGCTTATGACGCTCCAAGACAGTTGCCACATGACCACTCTTAAAGAAGTGCTCGCACGAGATCTGTCCGTTAGCATAGAGATCGTAGTATTCCGTTAGTAGCACCTTCAACGAACGCGTGGGCGTATGCTCTGTCAGCGGCACCACATTGATTGTCGTATTAGACTGATCCTCATTCACATCGGAGATCAGCAGCTGCTCGTAATTGGAAAGCTGCGCTGCCTGGGGATGTCGCACATACGAAATGACCGTCAGATGGTGACCCCGCTGCGATAATTCCGTTAGAATGGGTAGCGCCACTTTAAAGTGACTGTAGCCGAAGTGCGGGAATATGGCGAGCACATTGCCAGCACTTGCCCCACTTAAAATCAGCGCCACACAAAATCCAATTAACGTCGCTCTTTTCATTGTCGTCTTCATTGCTGCGCAGCGCTCGAATGAATGTGGCTTTGTTAAGCGGTTTCATGATTATGTAACGCATCGCTTGATAACGTTCTCGACTATGTTAGGTGCGCTTCAAAAGCTATTATTGTTGCGGTTTGTTAATAAGTATTTGTTCGACTCTTTGTTGTTGTGATTAAATTGCAACTGCACTTGTCGATTGCATGTTTGTGACGTATGCCAACACTGGTTGAGCTATCGATCACACTTTGGAAAAAATTGTATACTTTTGGGAACTGTTCAATGTGCGATGCAGCCCTGCCAACGGATTACCTTGTGTTTGTATTTTGTGTATCATACTTTTGCGCGCATTCTAAAATACCTTGTGGTGCGCTCAGTTATGTGACACGAGCTGTAGATGGCGCCAACAAAGACATTAAAGCTTTGATTGGTTAAGAAAAAGTGAGATTAAATGAAAATATTACATATACAAAAGTAATTTATGATTGTAAGAGACATAAAAACATTTTTTCATATATTCTGTATGTTAATATCTTATATAAATTATTAGAAGTGGCTTAAGCATGAAGTCCTAGCTTCTTACATAAAAAGTAACTAATTAAATATTATTATTATTATTATATATTATTATTTATATGTACTTATTATTTTATAAGCACTAAGCAGTAACAAACTGAAAGATACCTGAAAAATTTGATAAGCTCAGATATGAATAAAAATATTTATTCACATTTGAATCATTCATAAGTTCGATTCGTTTTCCCAGTAATTGGCCTCTTAAGTTATTGTCGAGCACTTAGCGCAGGCAAAGCCTTGAGATATTCGATGCCCAATTGAATTGGAAAAGGCCCCGAAAACAATAGATAATGGACAGTAGGAAGCGTTAATTGAAACCGCAAGCGATGCGACGATGCGAAGTTAATAATTGTAATTGCCAGACAAAATGCAATTCGACTGGCAGCTGCAGTTGCAGCACCAGCAGCTGCCCCTAAGTGCGGCGACAAATGCAGCGGGTAGAGAGACGCACGGGGCTGGCCACAAGATTAGAAACTGTTATAGCAAGTGCATAGGCAGAGGGAAATCCATTTGGCTGCCTGGAGACATGGCCATAGCACGACAGCTCAGGGTGGCTACGATTATGTGTGTGTGAGCGAGTGTGAGTGTGAGTGTGAGTGGTTGTGATTGTGATTGTGGGCGTTGTCAACGACCCACTTCCCAGGGCAACGCAACAAGTGCGCCGATTGGGCCACATTACTCGATAAGAGCCCAAAAACAAAACACGCCAACTGTTAACAATGCTCGTAAGTGTTTTTCGACGATAAAAAACTAAGCAGAAGAAGACGCAAGGAGCTCAACAAAAGTGTATTTGAACAAACAGAGCAATTATAAGTGAGCTCTGCGCCAGAGTGCTCCAGAGGCGATAACTGGATGCCCATGGGAAGCATTATACTGCCTGCCAGCTAACGCGCGGTAGTTCCAATGACGCCCCCTATAAACACACTTTCAGATCGGCCCCGATAGCATCCAGAAACAAACCACACACCATATGCATATTGAATAGTGAAAAACAGATTTGAAATTTACTTGCTCTATATTGTAAACATCTGCAGTTTTTAACGATTGTCGTATTATGAGATTCAGATTCATCAAATGTTGTCTAAAAATAGTTAATGCTAAGAAATTTGTAAGCCATATCTAAGTCTGATCTTGCAGGTGGATCATTATTGCTGCTGACTTTATTGCAAATTTGGTGTATATAACGCAAAAAGTATAGCAAACTAAATAACAATCTTACATATTTTAAGATAATTAAATTCATATATAGCTGGTGTTCTTTTTAGAGTTGCACAATTTAAAATCATAATAAATTAAGCAGATATATTTTCAGTATCAATAAAGTGAGCTTTATTAAATAGTAAATTTTATGACATTAATGCTTAAATATGATTTTTGTTATTTGACTGCCATGGCTGGAACATTTTGGAACATTTGGAACATTCTGTTTATGTAAAGCTTGTGGATTATCCTTACTCAAAATGCGAGAATTGTACTAATACCCAATTGTTTCCCAAAAGGGAAAATTTGCTAGAATTGCTCGGGTGTAAGTTTTTTTTATAAAAAAATGTCAAATCAAATTCAATAAAAAACAACTATCAGCTCTTAAATGGGTTCTCAAATAAAGCAGACGTCTTAACTCATGCCTTTTTAGTTCTAAAAAAACGTTTATTTTCATTTTATTCAAGATATTCTTTAATCATTTTGGTTGTTTTTTTTTTAAGTTACTTTAGACTCCTTAAGCTGTCAGCATAAGGCAGTCTCTTTCTATATGCAGATATTATATGGGTATATATCAGACAGATATAACTGTATATGTATGTATGTAAGTGTGAGTACATAACAATAAATAATTAAAGTTTAACATTTTTAAATATATTACAAATTTTATATCGAACAAGCCGTAGATTGTTTATTTGGAATAAATATAAAAATGATGTAATAGTTGTTAAGGTTTATAAATTATAAAGAAAATCGTAATATTGTCCGCATGTCACGCTATAATAATAGTCCATGCAATGCTGGCATTAGCTTTTATTTGTAAAAAGTTGTTGTCAGTCTAAAGATCAAGACGATAAGACGATAGGCAAAGGCCTAAGCTAAATTATTAAAAATAAAACATTCAGATAATTCACGTAGAGCTATGGGTGACACTGGGTGCTAGCGTAGATAGAGTAGCTCGAGTGGGTCTGCATGCAGCTCTCATATTTGTCAAGTGCAGAGCAGACAAGTTGTCTGTCTGTCTAACTACCTATGGGAATATCGTAATAGATCAAGAAATATCAGTTCTTGATCACATTAAAACTATGCACAATTTAAGTATTGAATACTCTTTAATATTTCAAATAAGAAAATGCTTTGGATATAAGTTTTAAATAGTTTTTTCTTTATAATAAATAGACTAGACTATGTATTACAGTTTACAGATATGTTAATAGGGCTTACACTTAAGTCTAAAATTTATAAACTTAATCTTCTTTAAATGACACATCTATCTATATAGTCCATAATTGAACTCTAATCAATACATATATTTTTATTGAAATAAATTTAAAATTAAAATAAAAAACTTTTCAGATAATTTATAACTTATGTCTTATAGACTATAGATTGCCTGAATATATAAATTTATGGAAATTGCGAAAATAAAGTTTAAGAGCCGTCTCGACGTGCTATTAGAAATGTATTTCCCATCGGCCCTAGGCTGGCGTCAGTTTTTATGAGCTGCGTTTCAATCTCAGCAATCGTGTAATCTATATATGCCCGAAATTAATATTTCTGTGTGATTTCATTATTATCGACAGATTTGTCAACTCGCAGACGAGTCAATGGCCCTCACTCCATGCTGTCTCGCTGATGTCATGGTCCGACAGACAGAGAGAGGAAGAGGTAGATAGAGAAGGAGATAGAGTTTGTATAATTTTAATGGACGCCCGCTTGATGGGCACAGAGAATTTAGTTGTTCTATGGGCTCATGGGCAGGCAGCCTTTGTGCTGTTAATGTGCCTCGCTGCAGGACTTAATTAGAGCGCTGTTTGTGCAGATTTCGACATTTTGCTGTTATGATCCAATTTGGCTCGTTTAAGGACACATACGCTGGCCATTTGTTTGCTCATTTGTCTGGCTGTTTGCTCGATTGTCGCCTGACAGCTCCAAACGCCCAGACACATCGCTGCCCAGGATTAGCAGGGGCCATAAAGCCAACATGTGTGCACAGCAGGCTGCCCAGCTGCCCAGCTGCCCAGCTGCCCGCCTGAACGTGGGGCGCTCAGCACTAATTAAGGGCTGGGACCAAGCCAAACAGAACTGAGATTAGGTGCAGCATTCGCAACTCCCGCTGCCAACAAACTCGTGCCGCCGGACAAACGACAATCAATGACGAGTAGCTGGCCAGTTGCTGAGTGCCAAGTGCCGAGTGTCAATAGATTGCTCCAAGTGCATGACTCGACTCGAGTGCATTGGCTGTGCAGTTGGAGCTGCGATTTCCTGCCAGGCCTCTTCAGATGGGGGCTAAACACACGCTACTTGAATTGACTTCAACTGCCGTCTGGGCAGGTGCAATTGCCAGGTAATGACAATGTCTTTTTCTTCTTCTTCTTCAACAGCTTAACAGTTGCACTGCTGCTGACGTCTACATACGCCAAGTACATTTGAAAATAATAGATCCATACCACTACAGGCACGCCGATAGCTTATCGAGCCACTTACTCAACCCATTCACATTTGCTGAAGTGCAAGAACATGTAACGTGGACACCCAGAGCTTAGCTCAAACTTGAATATTAAATGCTGTACACAGATTGTGACTGATATGCATAGATAGCGATAGTAATTAGTAAAATAGTTTCCCACTTTTCATGCTCTGTTACAGCTAAAATATACTTGAGTCGACCTGTTCAGGCCAAATTCATTGCAGCTCAACATTTTTAGACTACTTGAAGTTGTTTTTATACTGCATTCTGTGAGGCTTGATATATATGAAAGTAGACTTTAGCGTATTAATAATAGTGTATATTTACTTATTTACTTATTTTTAGCAACTGATGGCATATGGCCTTGTTGTCTTGCTCTTCTTCAAAGACTTGGATTTTATTGATAAGAATTGCAAAATTGAAAGTTAAGAGAGGGCAAGAGTCGAAATCCTTTAACTAAGAGTACTTAAAATGAGCTGTAGATTAATAGCCTTAGAGCATTGATTGAAAAGGTTGAGAGAGGGCAGCAGTCGAAATCCTTTAACTTAGAGTACTTAGATTTAGATCAATGTCATGCAGTGATAAGGAATGTGGCTTGAATATAAATTGGCTCCTCAGGGAACAGAGAAGACAGCTGAGATGCTGACTGTATTAATATGTTATGAATAATATAATTCGTTAACTGTTAAACAGCTTCAAGCCTAAAGACAGCATTGGGTAAAGAACTTTCAACGTCGCATACTCAGCTAATGTAAGAATAGAGAAATAAGTTAATTAAGTTAATTAAGTGTGGAAGCTCTATGTGGATGTTGAAGACATAAAAATCTGAGCAATCAATATAAGAGCTCAAGATGCTATTGTGAGAAAGTGAAGGAGAGAGAGAGACATAGAGAGAAAGTGATATCAATTACTAATTTATGAGTGTCGCCCAAACACTTGAAGTTGCTCCCATTCCCAACTCTTCAACTCAGTTTAACCAATAAAGAAATACTAATCGTAGTCCCACTAATAATATTAGTAATAGATTTTGAATATGACTTTTGATTGTCTTGTACACTTGTGGTTCAGAGAGTGTCCTGAAGTAGGGCACCTCCAGCGGTAGGTCAGCTGCACCTTAGACTGGGCGCTCAAGTGGCAGGAAGTTGATTCGTGCGCCTAGAGTTCAGCGGAATCGACTCTGGGTCAAGAGTTTTCAGTGTTTTGTTGATTCTGCTTTAGAGGCGCGTGCGCAGCGAACTGAAGGCTGAAGTCGGCAAGGTAAACAGGAAACTGGGCAAAGGAGTCGCGAGCCAAAAACTGAAGAGACAAAACTTGAGGCATGTTTTACACGTGAATTGCGATGACAAAAAGACGCCGGCCGAGGCCAATAAACGGGAATGGCAGGGCAAATGGGCATGGAAATGGGAATGGGAATGGGTAGAGTGGCAGGAGCAGGGGCACGGTCAAAGTGAAGGTGAAGCGCATACAAAAAAAATTGGCATCAACTGAAATGGCCAAGAAGTCTTCGTCGTGTTCAGGGTTCTCGCATTTCCATTTGTTGATTTTGTTTGCTGTTTGCTGTTTGCTGTTGTTGCTGGATTGTCCTTCCTACACGCGACGCTCTTTATGGCCGCTGCGGATTCGTGGAAGACATTCAATTGATACGAAATTGCTGCAATATAAATGCATTGCTGCCGATCGAGCTTGAGCGGCAGAGGTAGGCGGCAGGTATTCGAGGCAATAAAACGATTCTCTCGCTGATCTTCAGTTGCATTGTTGCGCTGCGCTTGGAAAAATGGCAGCCAGGGACACGCGTGTTCGCCGGCAACTCTCTCCCGTTTCGCTCTCTCGAAGTGTGCAGCAGCAGCAGCAGCAGCAACATACACAATTTGTTTACAGCATTGTTATTGATACAAAGTCACTGATTTTCAAGCAAAAAGGCAGTCGAGCTTGGCCTGTCTCTATCTCTCCCTCTCTCCCTCGCTCTCTCTTTCTCTGTCTGTCTCTTTGGTGCGAAGGCATCGCTCATCGCTCACAATGATGTTGCAATTATTGAACCTTCTGTATTTTCAAATTTCCATCATCATCACAGGCGGAGACCAAGGTGAAGCCGATGCTGCGTTGCTGCGTTGCTGCGAAGCTGGACGCTGTGACCATTAGCGAGTTTCGGCGGAATACGCGTGAATTCGTTTTGTCTAACAATGCGACGACTCACTGAGCGCATCAATTGAAGGAAAAATGGAATTTTCGGAATGCCAAAACGCTGCAGGTAAGGCCAGCGCTCTCCAGTCGCAGCTCTCTCAGTGCAACATTTAGCCCATTAACGGTCGCAGCAAGGAGCCGGCAAGCGCATAAAGATCAGCTATAATTATTCATCTTGGGTGGGGGACACTGTCCAAGGCAATGCCGTTCCTGCTCGCCTTGGGACCGCTCACTGTGTTTGTCAACGCAGATGCTAATCACAACATTAGGCCCGTGCAGATTCCACTTCAAATTGTCGTTGGGCCAATACCGAGAGCTGTTCGTTTCGCATTCGCTTCGCTCGCCTGGCAAAAACCCAGCAATTCTGGCTGCTTGGGCTAACCTCGTGCCCCCTCCGGCGTATTCGTAACTCAAGGATACGGCTAATTGCAATTGGATATTCGAGTTGCTGTACTTGAGGGACGCTGCTGATGATGAAGCTGTCCAGCATGTTTGCCAAATAGATAATTATTTCAGGCACAATTCCGACGATGTCCGATGATGTCCGACAGCGCCGCTGAAGGTGACAAACATCAAATGTTGGGTTAACCAAGCAAGGTACTTCGATTAGCTGCACATTAAAGGAAATGGATGGAGTTGTAGCAAACAAGTCGTGGACTGACTAAGCAAAGGAAATAGGTTTTGCGTATTGTAAGTAAAATATATATTTTTAAATATTTATACTATTTATAAATAATTTAAGTATCTTGGTTTAGAGGCTTGTCACTTTTCTGTAATTATTTTATTTGTAAATATATATATATAAATATTTATTCAATAATAAATCTATAATAATAAGTCTATATATATATATATATATATATATATATATATAAAGGAAAAGGAAATATATATACATATATATAAATTTGGAATCAATAATAAATCGAGCTACTGCGGCTTAAGAGATTAACGCTTTTATACGGATGGATAGACGGACAGACTCAGCTGGGACTCAGTGCCAACTCCCACAGACTCCACTCAGATTCAGCTCATATCCAGCTCAGCCAGACTCATTGCGTAGATGTGGTATCTACGAAATTTTATTTAAAATGTAAATTAGCACAATTTTGAGGCAGTAAACCAACGTGAATATATGGCAAGGTAACTTAATTAATTATTTCAGTTTAATTAAAATTTTTTACTGCGCAAGCGCGCATTGATCATCGTCAGCTATAGTACAGTACTCCTTCTATCCTCTCTGTGAAGACTTCTGGTCTTGTGTGCTTTTAAAATTAATCCTTTCTATTACACAAGGCATTTCAAGACAGGAGTTTTTGTTCCAGACTTAATTCAGCTCAACTCAAAGCTTAATTTAAGTAGTTTATTTACATAATTATTTACATAAATGTACATTAAATTTTTTTCTGTATCTACGATTCTTTGAGATCGAAAAAAAACAATAAATTATATTTTTTCAAATTTGGTACATTAAACAAGTATCCTCACAGTCTTCGACCGTTTCAAAGCGATTTTCGTCTGTATTGATTTCTGTATTGCATCCGGTGTAGATAAAGCCACGGCACATGTTCTCAACCACCTCATAGTTAAAGTAGAGTCCACGTTTACCGCACGATGGGCCCACATTCGGTCTTTTAAAGCATCGCACTTGAGGGTGGACAAAGGATTGAGCATTATTATTAATTACTGAGCAGATACATATGATTAGACTTACTGCTAATTATCCCATCAGTGCCATTTATGAATAAAGCTATGAAGCCTAGCATTAATAGACTCAGAACTTGATTAAATCTCCTCATTCTGCTGGTATAGCTTGCCTTTGCCTGTTGCAAGTGAACTGAATATAGAACAAAAGTTTAGCTTGACATTTGAATCTTAAATAATTAGGGCGTAACTGAAACTAAAATGAACATTTTCGTTATGCTAGCTACTTAATCAACTTAAATGGCATAAGTCAGCTTGCGTCTTTATATGGCTGAAAAAGCTGACCAAGTATCAAACAAAACGAAAGGAAGTAAACTAGGGGAAGGCACTGTGACTTCAATTTTGATTCCTTCACTTCGTCTCTGAGACCTCGCAAAAAACTCTAGTCCATATGCATGACTCTAGGGCCTCTTCTGCTTCTTCGGTTGCTGCCCAAATATATATATATATATATTTTTTTTTTTTTTTTAAATATATATATATATATATATATATAAATTTGTAATCAATAATAAATCTAGCTACTGTGGCTTAAGAGATTAACGCTTTTATACGGATGGATAGACGGACAGACTCAGCTGGGACTCAGTGCCAACTCCCACAGACTCCACTCAGATTCAGCTCATATCCAGCTCAACCAGACTCATTGCTTAGATGTGGTACCTACGAAGTCTGCTTCTGTCTGTTGCACAAATGTTCACATAACCAATATAATCTAAAATCTTATTTAAAATGTAAATTAGCACAGTTTTGTGGCAGTAAACCAACGTGAATATATGGCAAGGCAACTTAATTAATTATTGATCATCGTCAGCTATAATTGAGTACTCCTTGTGTCCTCTCTGTGAAGACTTCTGGTCTTGTGTGCTTTTAAAATTAATCCTGTCTATTACACAAGGCATTTCAAGATCTGAGTTTTTGTTACAGACTTAATTCAGCTCAACTCGAAGCTTAATTTAAGTAGTTTATTTACATAATTATTTACATAAATGTACATTAAATTTTTTTCTGTATCTACGATTCCTTGAGATCGAATAAAACAATGTCAGCCCTTAGTTAAAATTGACTTCAGTTAGTCACTTGGTTTATTGCGAGCTTAATAAATGATATTATTTCATTTGTCGAACCTTAAACAAACATTCTCACATTCATCGAACGTTTTAAAGCGATTTTCGTTTTTTTCGATTACGGTATTGCATCCGGTATACACAAAACTAACGCACATGTTGTGAGCCACCACATAGTAGTAGTAGTGTCCCTGTTTACCGCACGATTTGCCCAGATTCGGTTTTCTAAAGCATCGCGCTTGAGGGTGGACAAAGGATTGAGCATTATTATTAATTACTGAGCAGATACATATGATTAGACTTACAGCTAGTTGTCCCATCAGTGCCTATTATGAATAAAGCTATGAAGCCTAGCGTTAATAGACTCAGAACTTTATTAAATCTCCTCATTCTGCTGGTATAGCTTGGCTTTGCCTGTTGCAAGTGAACTGAATATAGAACAAATGTTTAGCTTGACATTTGAATCTTAAATAATTAGGGCGTAACTGAAACTAAAACTGAACATTTTCGTTATGCTAGCTACTTAATCAATTGTTGCAGCTCGAAGTTGTGGCTTCCGGATCCAACTTAAATGGCATAAGTCAGCTTACGTCTTTATATGGCTGAAAAAGCTGAACAAGTATCAAGCAAAACAAAAGGAAGTAAACTAGGGGAAGGCACTGTGACTTCAATTTTGATTCCTTCACTTTGTCTCTGAGACCTCGCAACAAACTCTAGTCCATATGCATGACTCTAGGGCCTCTTCTGCTTCTTCGGCTGCTGCCCAGATCTTGTCAAAACGAAACCAAACAATCTTGAAGTTGTGAGCAGTGGGAAATCAACGGGAAACCACTCGAGTATTGAAGCGCTGTGGAACTACCGTTTGGCTGCTATCGATGGCACTGTTTCCCCGAAACGTACGCATTAGCTCTAAGTATTTATGTTTAGTAAGTAGTTAGTCGTAAAAGTGCAACTGCAAAATGTGCCACTTGAGAGTGGCCATGCAAATGGACCACCCAGACGCTTGGATCTAAGTCTGCGGATCAGACTTTGAGCAGCTTCCACTGGAGTTAAGTTTTTCGGGACTTCGTCAATGCGGAGTCGCGACAATTAGTCTCATGGCGCGTATGTAAACAAAGTGCAAGGCAAGAGTTTTCCAGAATTGTTATCGACAAAGGATTTGGGCATCGGGTTACGCCGACTGTTGTCGTGGGAGGAGTTCGAGCTGAAGCATTGCGTAATTTATGAAGAGCAGCGTAAGCACTGTAAACACACCAAAGGGCAAGTGACCAAATAAACCAGCATAGCATGTAATTGGATCGTGGCTACGGTCAGATACGTGTACTTGACACTTAGGGCCTGGAATGCGGCTGAAGTGGCGCTGAAGGATGCGCCAAAGGATCTGGTGGGTCGCACATGTTTGCAGTCATAAATCAACGAATGTTATGGCTGCCTTCGGGCATGGAGAAAACGCATTTTCACACTTTTCCTCTTCGTAATTTGAATACTTTACAAGCGTTCGCTGGAAACCCAAACGGAGCATTATTAATTACACACTTGGATTGGATTTCTGGTGCTGATTAGTGCTGTAAGCGATATCATCGGGGCATCGGCCACAACTGTACGTCTCGGCTAGCAGTGGGTGGGCGTATCATTAATAGCGCTTTAATTAGACGGCCAAAACAGTTCAATGGTTCAGCGGCGCAACGGGAGTTTTTCTTACCTTTTCGAGCTAATTGAAAAGCATTCAAAATAGACGAACAGCAAATCAATTAGGCCTCTGGTCGAAAGGCGCACGCATTAATCAAAGCCTCGTTGCGCCCAGAGGGGGGTGGGTTGCGTGCCATTGTCTGCAGAGCTGTGGGGATAGGGGTGGGGTTGGGCGCGCATTGTGATTGGCTTTTTGTGGCTGCCGCCATTTGCCGCCTTGTTGCTGCTGCCGCCGCCATATTGCTAAATCACAAACGCAAATAAAACATAAAAAAAGGGGAGAGAGAACTGTTAAAGGCATATGAAATATGAAAATCAACAGCCGGCAACATATGAAAGCCGCCGCAGTTTATGACAAGCGCGGCGGCTAAAATCAAAGTCAGGCAGATCATAAAAAAAGCTCTCGTTGTTGTTGACAGCCCCCTCGCAACTCACCTGAGCCCGACGTCTCTGTATGTGTGTACGTATTTTTATTAGATTTTGCGACATTTTTGTTGTTGCGGCTTATCGCAGCGACGCAATTTTATGGCCACACACGCAGGCGGTGATAAGCGCGCGTTGCATTAAGTAGCTGCCGCCGCGAGAAGTCGCTGGCTGGCGCGGGCGGTGTCAAGGGAGGAGCCTGCTGCAGCGCTAATTTGACCAGTAATCGTTGCTGCTCAGCCGAGGATCAATCTAATTATTTTGCCAAATAAATGCAACCCTTTTGCAGCCTTTCGCCACGGCCAAGAAACCAACTTGCAGCTACATCTGATATTTCAAGTCACAACACACACGCACTCAGACACAGCTACAGTGCACTACAGCTAAGCCGCTGGCACACACCTTTGCAATTTTCCAGGTAACTGCAAGGAGTAAAAGTGCGTCGCGCCCACCACAAGGCGCGCACACAATGAGAGCGCAAAGACGCTCGCAAGGTATCAAGCCAACGAGCTATCTACCTGGCCAACCCGTTTAATTACGCTGGTAAAGGGTACACCCCTTTTTGCCCTTTTGGCAATTTGGTGTTTTGGTTTTTGGTCGCTCGTTGCCCAACTGTGTCCTTGGTCCTTTTACAGCCGCTGCCAGATATACGCGTATGTTGGCCAAGCGAGTCGCGGGCGTGACACGTTTATGGTGTGTTTAGATACTTTTCGCAAGCAATGCGAATTGAGACAATGCCAGAAATGCAACCGTCTAGCCTTGACTTCTGCCCGGGCAACTCCCCTTTACAATAAAAGTGCGTTTCGCGCATATTTACCTAATTATAAAGTGCCTTTCAGCTCAAGGCCTGCGACAATTTTTCGACTTTTACTTTTCTCAACTTTTTGCTAGACGAAAAATCACATTTTCCCACTTTTCATTGGAAGCATTTTCGCGTTTATTTTGATTGTTTACGTTTGCTTTTCTTGTCAGTTTGCCTTGAGATCTGAGCTCGTGAGTAGTATTTGCTGTTCCAAGTAGTTTAAGGCTATGCAGCAAGCATAGCTTGGAATGGTGAAATTCAAATTGTTGGCGGCTTCTTTTGTAGGTCTTCAAAAGTTACTTTTCAAATTCAATTATCTTTGCGTTACATATTTATCTTAGAGTATATATTTAAATATAAATATAGTTAAAAACAGTTTTTGTGTTCAGCAATAAAAATGCATTCAAATTTTAAAAAACTTGAGCTCTTTCACGGCAGGGTAATTGAGTTTAGACAGTTTTTTGATTTGTTCTAACAAAAGAAGAGATCTTCAAAATTAAATTTGAATAAGTTATGATTCCTTGCCTTAAAATTAAATTTAAATAAACCCTTTTATTTATCTAGTTATCGACGGCTATAAAGGAGATGCTGAGCTGATGCTTACGCTCTCACTTATGCCTCTTTTTGAGTCAATTGATTTCTACTTCTGCTCACTAAATTCAGCAGACAACAGATATCTGGTTGATAGATGCAAAAATTATAGTCTGATTGCTGATTAGTAAATTCAGTTGATTTGTGCTTAGAATTAACTAAAATCTATTTTTAAAGAATCTATATTCATATCATAATTAAGTAGAACTTATATACAATTAAGTATGCATAGTCAATAATAACAACTAATTACTTTAGCTCTTCTCTATCGCTTTATAAAAATGAGTTAGTTCATATCTCATTACCTATGCACCCCTTGAGAGTTCAATATATTAATATTAGTTTTTCAATATATCAGTAGACTTTAATATTTTTCATAGGAAACTCAAATCCAATTTCCAACCTACTTTTTGTCAATATATGCCATGATTTGCTGGGATTTCTAAGCCAACATTTCTGTTGAAAGACTTTTCGACCTTTCCAAATATAATATATATGTATATATATATTCTTTTCATATTATTTTATTATATTTTTTACATATTTAATTATTGTTTCTTTCCATTAGACATGCATATGCCAAAGATCTATATTTTCTTTATTCAACTTCAACTTCAAAGAATTATTTGAAGGCCATTACAAGTGCTCTAAAAACAAAGCCAAAACAGGGCATAAAATAAGTTAACAAAAACAAAAAAAGGAAATGACATTTTTAGTGTGAAAAAACATGAATATCGAAAAGTTACGGAAAAAAAACCGTGAAATGTTTTGGGTGACAAACGCGACTTTGCACTAAAAAATCTAATTTTTTTCGCCGAAATGGCAAAAAACAAATGAAATCGTAAACGAGGCAGTTGGATAATGAAATTGTTTGTCAAAATGTTGCTAAAAACCAGGCCAACGATAGCTAAGGTCAAGGGTCTTCTGCGAAGCCAGTTTTTATGGTGCAAAAAATGAGCAGGAAGAAGAAGCAGCAAAGGCCAAAAAGCCAAGTGAATTGTCAAATTTGTGTTTTTATGATGATTTTGTTTTATTTTTATTTTTTTTTCTACTGCTGCTGCTGCTGTTGCTCTCGTTGTTATATATTTTTTATGCTCTACATTTTTTGTGCGCCCGAAAATCCAGGGCGCAGGCAGCCCGAGCTACTAATGTCGAGCAGTTGCCGTTGCCTGTTTTGCTTTTTGGCTCGTTTTTATGGTTTTATGGTCTAATGACTTCTTTATTGGTGCATCCTTGGCCAGATCCTGTCTCTGTGTGTGTCTCTCTTCCACTCTCCCTCACTCTCTCTCTCTCTTTCTGCTCTTTTTATGATCAAGTCAAGGCGGACAATTTCCGTTTCCGTGTTGCGAGTAGCAGATTTTCGACTCGTTATTTATGCAAATAAATACAAAGTGATGCGTGTGTGTGTAAAGTTAATCCTTTCTACATGTGTCGTCTGTTGACAGGAAGTTGACAGTTGCTGCCATATATCAAAGCTGTGTGTGTGCTGGGAAATATTCGGCCTGGGTCTTTCATCTGACTCACTGTGACTCTGGGCCAAGCTAGCCGAGTTCTGTTTGTGTTTTTATCTATTATTATTTATTTGTTTATGTTGTTGTTGTTGCTGTTGTTGTTGTACACTTATGACATGATGTTAATTACTGCGCGTGCATTCCGATTGGCTATGGGAAACACTTTGAAATGGAAAAGTTCGCCGACTGTTTGTCAAGTGTCAACGGCGGCGTTTGCCAGTTGCCACAAGAAAGCTGCTAGCCAAAAGAAACACACAACAATAACAACAACAACAAGCCGGCACACACACACATGTGTGGAAATGGGAAATTTGGATTTTTTGCTTAGCCAGGATATTTGATCTAGCCATTTGACTTTGCATTTGACTCGTCTGTTGGTTTAGAGAATTGGGAAAATCGTCGAAAAATTGTTGTGTAAATATTTTTTAATTGGCCTGCATCGGCACAGTAGTGACTAAATCCCATTAGTCCTGCCGAGTAAGAGTAAGAAAAGTGTGCCACTAAGCTGGGCACAGACCGATGCCAAGTCTCTGTTGACTTGACCCGGACCCGGACTTAGTTGGTGCTTGGCTTGGGCTTAAGGCCAGAGCCAATATCCGCCGGAAAAACTATTAGCTAATTGATGGATTTGCCGCTTGCGTTAATGTGCGGTAAAACCACGAAAATCGTTTAATGTGGCCAGCAGAAGTCGACTTATAAATGGAGAACTAAAAGGCCAGTTTTCAGTGAAATCATTTTTATTAGACAAACATTTAAAGAACGATTTTAAGAATACTTTATTTGGTCTTAAAGGATCGTATATGACATAATTATATATATTGGTATATACTATGTACTGGGATGATTTTGATATGACTATTGCTTTGATGTACGTATATAGATTATTCAGGGAATATTTTTTATATTATTTTATATCTTATACTTAAAATTTCTATCAATATAAGGAACCTGTACTCAATATATATAAATTGGATAATTCATAAATAAAAGTACTATAATAAATATATAAAATAATAAATAATAATAACACTCTAAATAAACACTCTAAATAGGCATTTAAGAAGTATTTAAAACAAGGTTTGGTGACTTTTTGAAGATGTAAAGACATCAAATATGAATAATATTTTAAAGGCAAGGGAATTATTTGTCAGAATAGTTTCATTAAATACTTTGAGATTATGTCGAAAATACTGAAAAGCTGTATTGATATTCTTGCTTTTTAAAGATATAATTATATTAATAGTATTTACAATTTTATATTAATATTTAGTGGATTTAGTTTCTATATATTCATCATTTTATTTTAGAATATGTTTTACTTAAAATTAAATATATATATACATATATATAAAGATTATTTTGTTGTTGCCATAATACTATTTTTGCTTCCAAATCAGAAACTAACAAATTTGTTATCCATTCCATACTCTATATAAGTATATTGGTATGTACTTTCTTACTTAAGATTTGGGAATTTTATAGCTTAAATTGCTGTATTAAACTGGCTGCCTTTGCTGATAAGCGCTATAAACTGTATTCCCGATGTCAACTTTTGCCAAAAACAAAATCACTTTCGATAGCAAAAAACAGTGAACAGACATTCCATTGTAACACTTGATATTGATATAGACGGCTATTCATTATAATATATCAAGTATTAATTCCTTAAACAATATCAAATTTTATTTTATGTATTTTCTATTATATATTTAAACTAAATAACCTATAGGTTTATTTCTATTTTTATAACTATATATACATGCACATTTATAAAAATATAGTTTTTTATTTATAAAGTAATAAAAAAATGCATTTATTATAATTTTTCAAGTTTGCCTTCTTACAGTCTCCGCACATCAATTTGATTGCTTCAGGCTTAGCAATTTGATATGGCAAATTTAAGCATTACTGCAAATCGGTTAAGCTTCAATTGAGCACATTAAATAATCATCATCTACTGACGAATTGACATTATTATTGACATTAGCCTCAGCTGAAAAGAAGAAAATGATAGAAAATTGAATAAATGTTTTTTTTTGCGTCTGTCTGTACGGAAACGATAGAGTGCCGCTACTTGACTCTGAGTCAATTCAATTAGTTATGAACATTTTAAAGAGAGTTTTTAAGCAGCTTTTAAATTTTAAATTTCAAATGTCAAACTCATTAGAAGCAATTTGCAATGGGCAACGGAAGGTGCAATTAACCTGACTAATTAACTTACCAGAGGCAGCACTTATATAAATATATATATTTAAGCAGTGTCTTCAAAGTGATTTGATGATAAAATCAGCAATAAATATAATTCAATTGCTGTCGAAACGAGCGTACGAATGTAATTTGCATACGATTCGGAAAAAATTTAAAATTATCTTATGTAACGCATAATCATACGGGAAATCGACATAAATGAGGAGGAAACGCGTCCACCCCAAGCGAGAAATGAGTTTAGACAACATTTGCTTTGATCCGGCTAATTGAATTTTCCTGCGAAAGTGTAAAACGTGGGAGGCAGTCAAAAAAGTGATTTCTGGTTTTGTGTGGCAAATTAAAATTTAAATGAAAACGAATCAGGCACACGCACATGCAAAACAAAAACGGAGAGGAAGAAGAAGGACAATAGATTACAATGTCCTGGGGCGAGGCAAAAAGCCGCACGAGCAACGGCAGCACCAGCAACCAGCAGCATCAGCAGCAGCAGGAGCAGGATATACAGGGCCAGCTGGCCGGGGCATGCGCCTGGGTGGGATGCGGGTCGTCTCCGGGCTGATGGCTGCCTGCCAGCAGCAGCAGAAGCAGCGGCAGCAGCAGCAGCGGCAGCAGCATCGGCAGCAACGGCAGCCGACAACGGCGTCCGACCATCAGCCCAACAGTTTCCGCTTGCTTACTGCCAGTGAGCAGCAAGCATCGTTCAGCTCGGGCAGAGAACGGGAGTATGAGAGAACAAGAGGCGATGCCGAGTGGCTGAGTCGTGGAGTCGTCCCTGTACGATGTCGAACACGCGCGCAGAGCGCGCACAAACACAACACTGCATACAAAAACAGAAACAGAAACAAAAACAAAGACCCGAAACAGATACGGCAGCCGCTGGTAGTTGGAATCAACCAATCCGAGCGCTTCGTTGGGCAGCAGGTAGGCGTGTACGTATCTGCCATTTCCAAATAAATTCAACCCCGACAACAAAAACAACAACGAGCAGCGACGACGACAAAAAGGCAGCTGCTGTTGGTTCGCTTCAAAACCGGTCGACGACGCCGCAGTTGCATTCAGTTATTAACGAGCGCTACTCACGGCTACAGCAACAGCAGCAGCAGCAGCCACAGCAGCAGCAGCAGCAGCCACAGCAGAAGTCAGTTCACTCAACACACACACGCACACATTCATGCACGCATACACGCTATCAGTTGAACAGAATGGTTAAGTGAGAGCGAGAAGGCAAGAGCGCACTTGATATACGCTTTGAGTCGTCGAACATTTTCACGAGTTTGAGTCGGAGAGTAACAAAACGACAGCAGAATTCAGTTTGAGTTGAGACGTTGTCGTGGGCACGTCGCAGCAAAGAGAAGAGCGCATAGCAGCAAGCACAAAAAAAAACAACTGCTGAAAAAGACGTAAAAACCAGAGACCAAAGCTAAAAGAACCAATTTTACAGTTAGTGCAAAGTGACAGTGTAAAAAAGAAAAGAAAACAGCCAATAAAGCAAGTGCTAACAACACAAACACAAACTAAGAACAACAAATTTTAACGAAGACAAAAAAGGGAATATGTCTTCCACTTCAGCTTCGCCCATCAGCAACATAACCGTGGACGACGAGCTTAACATAAGCAGAGAACAAGGTAAGCACGAGAAAAAGCCGACGGCAAAGCAGCGATAGAGAAAGAGAGAGAGAGAGAGATAAAGTTAAAATTAAATTTTTGTGCTTTTTGGTGTTGTTGAAAGTACACGTTGAGCAGAGTTTTTAGATCAATCACTAAATCACAATATTTCTTATCTTGTGCTATCTTCAGACTTTGTCGAGGAGGATTTCATTGTCATCAAGGAGGAGCGCGAAAGCAGCCTGTCACCAATGTTGACGCCACCGCACACGCCCACCGAAGAGCCGCTGCGGCGCACAGCCTCCGATGAGGCGGTGGCCACGCAGCTACATTTGCGACACATGGCGCACTACCAGCAACAGCAGCAGCACCAGCAGCAACAGCACCAGCAGCATCAACAGCAACAGCAACATCAGCAGCAGCAACAACATCATCGCCTCTGGCTGCAGATGCAACAGCAGCATCCGCATGGTCATTATCCGGTTTATGCCGGAGCCAATGCCGATCCCGTGGCCGTGCATCAGCAGGCGTTGCTCATGAACCAATGGATACGTAATGCCGCCATCTACCAGCAGCAGCAACAGCAACAACAGGCAGCAGCTGCTGCAGCTGGTCATCACCATCATCCGCACCCGCATCCACATCCCCATCATCCGCACCATCACGGCCATCCCCATGCCCATGGCCATCCCCATGTGCGTCCCTATCCCGCTGGACTGCATACGCTGCATGCGGCCGCTCGCCATTTTGGAGTTATGCCCAGTTTGAAGCTGAGCGGCGCTGCAGCAGCCGGTGCCACAGGCGGTGGCGGCGGCAGCAGCCGGCCCAAGAAGCAGTTCATCTGCAAGTACTGCAATCGCCAGTTCACCAAGTCCTACAATCTGCTCATACACGAACGCACCCACACGGACGAGCGTCCCTATTCCTGCGACATCTGCGGCAAGGCCTTCAGACGTCAGGATCATCTGCGTGATCATCGCTACATACACTCGAAGGAGAAGCCATTCAAGTGCAACGACTGCGGCAAGGGCTTCTGCCAGTCGCGCACGCTGGCCGTGCACAAGGTCACCCACTTGGAGGAGGGTCCGCACAAGTGTCCCATCTGCCAGCGCAGCTTCAATCAGCGTGCGAATCTCAAGAGTCATCTGCAGAGCCACAGCGAATCAGCCACAGCTGCTCAGGCAGCAGCAGCAGCTGCAGCAGCAGGAGCAGCAGTTCCACGATCCAGCCAACCATTGAGCTCAGCAGTTCAGCCTGCGCAGCTGGTTAGTCCCGGCTCCAATCATAATACGCCCGCTTTGGATCTGTCGTCGTCAGGCGGTGCCACTGCGGAGCGGCCCAAGCGAACGCTGGGCTTCACCATCGATGAGATCATGAGCAGATAGATGAGTCAGCTGATCGCAATTTATTGGTTTTATGTTCAGGATGCCTTCGCATCCAGAATGCTGAGCACCGCCAGGCATGGGAAGTGCCTGGCCCGGAGCAGCAGTCAGCTCAGCTTCAGCTACAGCCTCAGTGCCGCCCACTTTGAGTTCGAGCCGCAGGTCACGCCCCCAGCACACCTACTCACCGTAGCCGTAGCCGTCGCCGCCGTCGCCGTCGCCGCCGCCCCAGTGAAGCAAAGGCAGCAACCCAACCAGTCACAACTAGCCCAATCGACTTTCTATATAGACCCAATACTATATAGCTGTCGCATTGGCGCTAGCAACTGCAAAAAGCCAAAGGAAAATCAAACAAACTAAACACAAATGGAAACTTAGTAGAAAGTATTGCGAAAGAGAACAATTCCAAAACATGTGGCATTAGAGATGACTCTTGCCCCACTGTACTTTAATCTTAGGTATCAATATATATCTACATAGTTATATTATCGTATGTACCTTATAGCCAGTAGTAGACGCATTCAGTTTGTAACGCACCAATACCAATTCCCAGAGAAAACCTCAGACCTTCATCGGTTATTCAAAGACTGTACAATTATAATTATGACTACAACAATTTGTTATTTTATTTTATAATTTAATGCATTTAAATACATAAACACACACATATATTTGTAAATCAATACAATGTTTGTTAATTTTAGTTAAGTGTTATGAGTTTCTCCCAATGACAAACGCGAGTTCTACCCACAAAGAAACCACGATCTCATTATCTTCTCTAGCTCTAGATGTATGTATGTCTATATGATATGATAGCTACATATGTATATGTACTATATACGGTCTATGTATGATAAAAACAAAAGCTATCGCAAAATATATGAATTATGCGCAATTGTATAAGCTAAATAAACATGATTTGTTTATCTTAACTCGAATATGACTAATTTCTGGTAAAGAAAAGTAGACGTACTTTGCCTAAAGTTGGCTTTATGTTAACTATTTCTTTTTGGGCTTGTAGTATATGACCAGAGTTTTCAGTATCTTTTGGAAGTAGTATGATGATATATCTAGAATTTCTGTGCTATATCTATTGATATTTCAGATAAATATTGTGATTAGGTGTGGTTTTTAATAGATATCTAGACTTTTATAAACCTCAGCTGAAAGCATTTTTATAGAACAAAAATATAAAAAACATTGTTTTTATATATAATACTAATATTTAAAAATGCTTTCAAAATTAAAACAAAAATTTCATTTTAGTCAACTTTCTTTAAAGATTTTAAGTAAAACGAAAAGTTTAAATAAAAATGTGTTTTCTTTTTTATTTTATGCATTGCATGCGAAAATTTCTTTTCATATCCAAGAGAAATTAGCTAGATTTTCATTTGATTTAAGCCTTAGCAAGTTCTTTCACAAAATGCTTATTTGCACTATTAAGTAGACTATCCTAATCTCTCATTTAGCAAGATTTTGCCAAAAAGCACAGTAACATTCAATGTAGAATATGACTCGAACTAGCATTTCACAAAAAACATACGAAGAACTAAGAACTCTTGTTTCACTTTACTAAAGATTTTTAAAAAACATATGTTTGCCTATGCATAAAATAGTTAAGTTATGAAGTTTTGATCATGTTTCAACTGGCAGTTTATCATCAGTTTTAATTAGAGATTTCGTATTTTAAAAAATTCCCAAATTTAAAACTTAAAAAATGTATAACTTTAAAAAGCTCACATATTAAAAGAAGGCTTGAATACTAGGCTTTAACAATTCTTGTCGAATATCTCATTTATGGTATGTTAGCCTTTATCTGTAAGTTAAACTATTATTTGTGCTATAAATAATATTATTTTATATTGAAAATGATGACGTACGTATGAGACGTCATAAAGTATTTATACATATATATATTCTTATCAGTATCAACAGCTTAGTTTGAAACGTATATATATTTCTAGCTATTGACGTAAAAGTTTGCAAACAGACATATTTCTGCGAAGCAGAAAAATCTTAATTTTTAAAAGATTTCTTTTCTAAGACGACTGCACTCAGCATAGGAAATAATTCAGTCATTAAATTTGTGTAAAGATTTCTTTTTCATATCGATTCAAAACGGGCTGCAGTATTTATAATATAAGTGCGATAATTATTCTATATATGTATATATATATTTATATATCGCTCAAAAATAGTGCAGTTCTTCAGTGTGCTAAAGTTTGTTTGTGCACAATATTTTCTAAAATTAAATTTTCTGATAATTTGGCACTGAAAGCAAGCCATAAATTTGGTATATTTTATTTGCGACATTAACTCTTTGTTGTAATCAGTTTCTTTAATGTATTTTTGATATCCCTAAAATTAATAGCAAATTATTATTGTTCGGCTGATTCTCTATAAATTTGCTTCCATATAAACATTTGTATAATATTTATGAAAAAAAAAACAAAAAGCTGCCCCAATCAAAAGTTATTTCAACATTGTTTCTGTCGCCTTTGCCTCAGCCAGCTCGCAGCAGCTGAAATTTCAAGATGTTGTCAGCAATGAAATGATTTTGTTTAGGCAAATGCAAATGCATAACTCAAATCGTCTCTCATATTTGAGGCATCTATTAATTTACAAGATTCCAATTTAGCCGCAGCGTAGCCTCTACATGGCAACTGGTCCAGCTTCAAACTGTCAAATCTTTTAATTTACGATAACTCTTGAATTTGATGCTCGCATTCTGTTGATGTCCAAGTCGATGTTGCTATACGGGCATTATTTATTTTTGGGTGTGGTCGTCGTGTTTTCAGTTCTATAGAAGTCCATTGAATAGCTAAGGCACAGTGGTTAGGAACGTGCCAAACGAGAAGATCCAGACAATTGACAATTGGCAATTGTGCAATAGATCTAGAACTGGAAACGGGATTCCATTGCATTGCCATTAGCACGCGCATTACCAGGAACTGTGCAATGCGGCGATAGTTGTCTGGAGTTTGTCTTTAATTGAGGTTTCTCCTATATATACAGGGGTTGCCTGGGGTGCTGCTGCTTGATTGGACCAGCTGCTGGCTCATTTGCTGCTTCAATTTTCTAAACAACTTTTTGTTATTTTCTCTGATGACACTGGCCATTATGGCCATGTACAATTGATTTTAGGCCAACTGCCAACTGCCAACTGTCAAATGTGGCATGCAAAATGTAAAGGTATTATGGGCTAGGGGCAAGTATTGATGTCTACATTGCAACGCGTCTCAGCTGTGGCGTCCTAGGTGGCAGCACAAGTATACGGGACGCGCCCTCCTGCCACGCCTCGATCCTGTAGACATTTCAATATCTGCGACAGCCTGTGGCTCTGCCCTGGCCAGTGGGTTGGCCAGCAAACGCAGCGAGATTCTGTTTTCCTTTTCCTTTTTTATTTTCTATTTTTTTTTTGCTTTTCTCGGGTCTTATCTTCTGGTCAACCATAGAACTTGTTGCTCGGCTCTGTAGAGCTGGCTGTGTTTTGGCAACAGCTCGCCGCAGGATACATGGTGGCCAGGATATGCTGTGGCCCGGTTCATGTCGCTGAGCATTCGACACACATTGTCCACAAACAGGCCCATAATTGCACGAATCCGCACTGCGTACAACCAAAATATTTTGTGAAAGTCACAGCGGGCGGCCAACAGCAGCAGACAAGGATGGCAAGCGTGTTATCCTGTGAGCTCAGATTGATGGATATATTGTCGCCTTCACTCAGCCAGACAACGGACTTGTCTGTCTGTGTGTGTGTATGTGTGTGTCAGTTTTAGGCCACAATTAAACGTATCGGTTCCGCAACTAGGGTGGCATCTTCTCTAGCCCCTGACGCTGCCCCTGGCTGATTAAGCAGCAGGCAGTGCACAACGTCTGCCAAAAGTGAGCCATTTACTGCCCAGCAGCCAGTCAGTCAGTCAGCAGCACCCCTACGAGCAGCGAGTGCTACCCCTAGCAGGCCGGGGGGTTGCTGTTTAATGACCTGTTCCTGGCCCAACAATTGGCCAGTGCCCGAGGCACGTTCGCACTCCAAGTGGCCTTGTGTGACCACCCAGAATACGGAATACGAAATACGAGTTATGGCCACGATCGCGGAGCAAATGAAGTTGCCTCTTGGCTCAATTTGTGCGGCAATTAAAACGTTGCAAATCGATTTGCCGCCATTCAATAATGCCACAGCCAACGGCCACATTAGAAATGTGCGCCATTTTGTGGCTTGATGCGTTGACAGCCACCGCACAAAGGCGGCAGCCATCGAGTGGTGCTCGGCATCAAGTTGTTGCCCATGATCACAATCACGAGCCAAGCGTTAGCTACATAGATGATTGGAGATGCCGATGACAGCATCGCATAGCCTCTGGCTCAAGTGGGCCAAGCCCAAAACTTGTCTCCGGTAATTGTACATTGTCTATGCTGTCAGCTCGCACCATTTGATATGCCGACGCCTGCCTTTTGCAATGACAAACGCCGCCGATGCCACTTGGCTTCATCAATAACTAAAAACAACAAGGGTTATATATATATATATATATATATATATATATATAAAAGTAACAAAAAAAAACCTTGAATCCATGTATTTAATTCCCTATCACATATCACATAAAACAAACCAAATGAAAAGCTACTTTTACCCTTGAAAAATAAAAAAACATTTTCTTTATAATATTATTGAACCAAACAATATTTGCCACATTTTGTTTAGAATAGTATTAGACCAAAAATATATGTAAAACATTATTTATGAAATTAAACTAAAGTGAAATAGTTATTTGTTTCCTTTTTTAGTAGCCACTACTATTTTTATGAACAACCAAATTTTTCTAGCTTTTCTTTCTCAAGAAATATGTTAATCTAATATTTCATTAAAATTGTTTTCAAAATATTTTGGTTAATCCTAAATTTTGTTGCATTCAGCATTCAGTGCTCAGTCGCAAGTTTTTTGAATGTGGAAACATTTTCTCAATTTACTAGACGTTTTTTTAACAGATGTTCTTATTCAATATTTTCAAAATTAT